CAGTCAAAAAATCCTCGACGTGTATGACACGAGATAATCGGATTATCCAAACCGGATTCTTCACCTTTGCCCCAAAAGGTTTTTTACCAAGTCAGAGAAACTGTGTTTTTTATAGAATAAGCATTAGGTACAATTGTAAAAACATAAAAAAGAGCAGAAGTACAGAAATTTTCAGTTTCTTGCTTTAAGGGAGGTCAGTTTAATGGGAGAGCATCGCTGACAAAGCCTAGCATTCATCAAAGCCATTCATCTTTTATGATTGCATGTCTTACTGTTGTTCTACAGTTGACTGTACAGGACCAATGAACGTGACTTTTGTTGCGAGCTCATAAGTTTTATCAGTCTCCGAAGATAATCACTGTCGGCCTTTCGTCCAAGCGAAAAAATGTAAAGGATGCTACAGATTTATGTAACTCTAAGGAAGACAAATTATCTTAGAATAATATTTATCCTCATCTCGCCTGAAGAGCCAGACCTAAATAATGTTCAAGGACTAATCTAGCCATTTCGATCCTGATTTATTCTTTATTTAGACAGATGTAAGAATCACTGAAATGAATAGTTCTTTAGGCCTATGCTGTGATATCTTAACCAGGAACACTTGCATGTCATTTTATTCAAATGCGTCGATGATTTAAGAAATGTTCTTTTTAACATTCGGAATAATTTCCACCTTGATAAGATTATTCCCTGTATCCTGTAACATTGTTTTGCAAGGGGGTGCTTCTTCTTTAATCTACGGTGAACAAGAATTTTTTCGGGCGTTTCCAACAGTCCGATTAGACTCGAGCCTTTAAATCCTTTTGTCATTGTTGTGTGTTGGAGATCAGGTCATACGTCTCTGCCTTGCTGATAACTTGGCTTTGAGACCCCGTGCTGCACTTTCAGCTTAGCCAAACTGGATTAAAACATTTTGGAAACATGTAATTGCATTAGCAGTTTAGAATGCGAATGTTACAGCATAATGATCAAGGTCGTGGCTGCTCCTTTACCTACTATCTGTAACTTTTTTAGTGGATTACGTTTGATCACTCCGTCCCAAACCATCCAAAGTCTCAAGTCACCGGCAGACTTGCTATATCATTGCAGCTTTATACACTTTGTCATTATTAAATTCTGAACTTAGATGGATCCAAGTTTGGTGTTATTTTCCACTATCCATGCAAAGACATATTTTCAAAGATTCTGAGCTTCTGCCCTTCTCTTACCCTGGTGCCAGACTCTGAAAAGGTAACAACAAATGTAGTTCAGCGTATTGCACGTCGATGAATAATTTGCAAAAATTAATACAATTAAAAAATGACTTTGTACATGAATGAAAGATAAGTACGACGTTTCGAGCATAAATAATTATAGTTTGAAAGATATATTTGAGTGGGGATTAGAAAGAAAGACTCATGCTCGAACCTCTTTTCTTTCCCTCCTCCACACCACCTCCTTCATCGCCACTGCATCGATCTATAAAACCCCATTATGGCCTTCTGAGGCTGTGGTACCTAGGAAACCCTCTTCTCTATATCAAGCGTTATTGTACCATAGACCAAAACATGGAAGGTTCTTGATGAATAGGTAACGTAACCTGGGGTTGTTCATCAAATCACTTTCATGAATGTTTGGAATGGAATTATGGCTTGATCTTTTAAATGCACTTAGCGAGTTTGAAAATTCAAAAAATGCCCAGCGGTATGAAAATCTAAAAGCTAAAAGTCCTTTTCACCATAAGCCTTTTAATGTAAAGATTCCGATTCAAACATATATGCCATATATTTATTCTGCCGCACTAATCAAAATTGTGAAAACTGGAACTTTAATCTAGAGAGATATGGGATTCCATACATGAAAAAGAGAGTGTCAACCACTAATAAGAGAATAAAAAAAGATATAATCGTTTTGCCAACCTTACATCTGTGTGATATTATGGCAAATTTGGATTTTCTGGGTTTTGCTGTGCTGAAATTTAAGCTTGCACTCAAAATGCAAAACTTTCGAACGATCGCATTTTCGGACAAAATTTCCTCAGATACATAAATTGTTTGGATTCTGGTTTTGTCCAAAACCTGTTTCGTCCGAAAATTTTTATCTTAAAATGTAAAGAAAAATAAGGCTACAAGTGAGCTTCTTACAGAAAGTTAAGATTTGAGCTAGTGTAGGAAGTTTTATCTCAGATTAAGCGTTTTATGGGGTTTCAGAACAGTAGTTGCCTTACGATTTTGTTGCCAAAAATGCTATGGCTTTCGAAGAATAGGTTATAAACTTACCTTACTTCTTTGATTTTATCAGCTGGCTTATTATTTCCATGCGTAGCAAAGATGCTGTTTCTACAAAGCTGTTGAAAACTGGACTTAGAACATATCTCACATTATACACAAATACATTTTTCGTCAGGCGATTATCGTCATAGGCAAAGCTGATTTTGGTATCTCATGCTTATAAATGACCAGGATATTTTATGCTGCTATTTTCTAAAATGATACTGTTAATAAGAGCCAAGGATTGAGCTGCAGGAGGCCTAAAGGAGATACAGCCCATATGTCTTATTTCTTAAAATTTAGAGGGCTGTGAACTTTGGCTAACTAAGATGGCGTGTGAATATAGGATAAGGTTTCAATTCCTTTAGTTTAGATCAATTATAAGGATCTGACGAGATATGCTTCATTAAGGTATGGTCAACATTTGATTTAAATAGAATAGGCCCCAACACACATAATTGTTATACCACATTAAAGAGTTTTGCATTTTGATGGGTTAAGCTCCTGAAACATGTCAGGTTCTTGATTTAAAAAACCCCAGAGAAGTGGAAAAAGCTCAGAACTTGGCTTGATCATAACATATTGCCCAAGATATTGCCAGTGAGTTCCAAGAAAAATGGCGGAATTAAAAAAGGTTACAGTTACACGTAGATTGCAACTGCTTTGGGGAATCGCTACAAAGATCAATGGAGAATGCCTCAATCAGAGCATTCATAAAAACAGGTGTTTTTATGATTTATCCAATAGCAGAAATAAAGGTTGGTTCTTGATACGATCTTGGCTAGGCATTCTTTTTTCTTTTCGCCAAAAGAGAATCGCCTTTGATTTGGCTATAACGAGCATGTTAATGATTAAAAAGGTGTCACGTCTTAAAGTGCACGATGTGAAACGAATCCATTTAAAATGGCAGATATGTCGAGGCTTTGACAGAGATCATGTTCGACTTAACAATTCAAACTTAATTTTCATTTCGTAGAAGCTTGGTACCAAGGAATGGCCCAAGGCGTAAAAAGTGACTATTTTGCATAACTTTTACTGCGTTTTCAATACAGCTTTTTCCTATGAATATTAATAACATTGCTCAGGCTTTTAACGAGAAAAGAAAATATAAAACTTAGAAAAGAAGACTGTTTAATGTATAGTTATAAATGACGACCGGCTTTAGCAAAGTAATGTTCGCGATAATCTTCTTAACACAGATATTGGGACGCAATTCAGATAACTTAACGCTGTCTACGGAGCTGCTCTCCTTCAAGCTTTTATCAGGCTGGCAGACGTCTCCATTTCGAGCAAATTTTGAGCTCTATAATAACAACAATCTTATAGATAGAAAGACAACACAGAAAAATTATTTTCCAGAAAGTCAAACAAGAGATTTGCTTGGAAGGTACTAAGAAAAGCTTACTGTTAATTGGAGTTTTGGAATTGATGTACATTTTAGTTACGATATCCACATGTATATGGTCCTCAAGATCTTAGTTGTAGAGGTACTAAGCTATGCTGAAATTGTTCTTTCCTTTTCTCACTGGTTAACTTTCCGAAAATGACAACAATCTAAAGAAACAACTCTTAAAGAAAAGCTGCATTTAGAAAAATGCAGTTGTTTTGAGTGATTGACCTACCAAGTAAAATCTGATAAGCTTCAAGCATTTAGCAAAATTTGAAAATTATTAAATGTCTCTTAAGCTGCTTTCTGTCAGCCTGTTTTTTCGTGGAAGAAAAGTCAGTTGTGACAGGCCCAGAGACAGGACACATACTTTCAAGTTGATCTTTAAATGGAAGTAATTAGAAAGATAGACGCGATTAAAGACTTGTTTTTGGATAGTTTCCAGATCTGTATTTCTGTCCTTTGTTTAATTTTATCACAGAAACAGTCTTGAACCCTATATTGTTTCCAGCATACATATATCTTATCAACGATCAAAAAAGTTTGAAAATAAGTTTTCTTTTTCCTGCAAAATTACCCTGGATTTGTTTTTCATTTTCAATGTCACCAGCTTTTCAATTGATATTTATGAACACTTGGCAAAAAAGTTTGAAGAAGGTTAAGTTGCTTTGCAAAGTGACGTGTAAAACTTTCATTTTTTGTAAACTTGATGTTATCAGCAGGAGACAGTATCTGCAAAACATGCGAAACATCCTTCTTTGTGGTTAGTTTAGAAGTGTTGTATTAAACACCATGAACTAAAATAAAGCTAGGATAATGAAGCTATCTACTTTTCTTATAAGTTTGCTATTTGTCTTGTAGTCATTTTTATCACTAGCCGTGATCTTTCTATGAACATTTTTTAAGTCCTGAAAATCGTCAGTTTTTTGTAACATATTTTCGTAAATTGAGCAATTGAACGTTAAGATTCTTTATGGGTGTCCCAGAGGCAAGATTAACACAAAGTATAAGATTCTTTAAATGTCAAATATATGCTTATAAGGATATTTTGTTATTGTTAATCCTCATAATTATTACAGATTTACATCCATCTATTGTCCTGATTCTGGTAGCTTAAACGTTTAGCCTGTCTGCACCAAGATCCCAAGTAGAGTGTTTAGTGCCTTCAGGCGCTTTTTGGATGAAAGTGCCATTGAACATTAATCCTATGGAAATGTTATTTCCAGCCAAATCAAAATTACGATTGTCACCTCTTATTCTTTGATTACAACTTCCCATAAATCTTTGATAACTGCTTCTCAACTTGAGTTGAAATTTAATAAAGAGACCTTCCAAGAAATGACAACTTTAAATTCTTTTTGCAGACGATGCTTCACAATTCAGTTTTCTGCTCTGTGGATTTTGGCCTCCATATCTTTATCAACGTGCCAGTTACCACTAACCATGATCCAAAGACGTCCGTTTGGCATAGGTGAGAAAATTTTGTGTTTTACTACCTGGCTCTGTTTCTAACCTATTTGAAAGCAAGGATATTTATTTATTTGCTTATAAATTAGAAAGATGTATTATTTCTCAGGATGTGGCAAAGTAATCAGTGATTAGCAAAGTCTCTTTTAAACCCTTGATATGCCTGGATTTGCTATCCTAAGATATTTGCAAGAAACAGACGCATTGTTTTCAATTTTCCAGAGTTAGGTTCCTATTATGTGGTTCAAGTAGCAAATAAAACGTAACCGTTCAATTAATGGTTTGGCCGTCTTAGGGATTTTCCAGAAAGCATTACTTGGAATCTTTTCTGCATGAGCCTTTTACTTGCAATATCCAATACTACTTTCACCCACAGACACCCACAGACAGGAGTAACGGTTGATTCTTAGGCAGGTTTTCGTTCTACCTTGATCTGAGATGTGATGTTATTCTCCAAGTTTTCCTTTCATTCCCTCGCGAGGAGGTATTTTCAATGTAATGGCTGGGTCTCTAGAGTTCAGAAAATATCACAAGCTATATCCATGAATCTTTTGAACTAAAGTTCTTTGAAATTGAATTGAAGAAGAATCATCTATGGTTTGGTATTTATGCAATGGCGTCCCTCAAAACTACTACATCGTTGGATCATCTTTCTCCAGGCCCACAGCCATGGAACCGTTATATATTCTTGTCTCAGGGCTTAAGCAGTCTGCATCAATCACTGAAGCTGGCAAAAAAGCCAATAACTCATTTAGAAATGCCTATCAATTTAACTTGATGTATAATTTCCCAATTAGATAATGCCTGAAACCAAAATCCTACCTGGGATTCCAGCTTCAGATTTGCATTTCGAGATCTTTGCAGCTTTTCGATTGTTATGTTATAAAATATAGTTGTGTTTTACTCTAATTGAAAGCGCCACCTTGCTCATTGTGACAAGTACAAACAGATTTCAGCAATTTCAAAACTTGTTAGCAAACTAATATTGTTTCATTTATCCTACCAACTTTGTGAGGAATTCTGATGCAAGTTTGGAAGTCGAAGGGGAAGGGGATGGGTTAGGCTCATAGCATGTTATATTCGGTTATTGTGTTCTTATATTCTTTCCTATTCTATAAAAGACGTACGAGGCGTGGTGCAAGAAGGTTGAATTCACCTTTATAGAAGTGGCTTATGGGCATATTGATCGTGCCATTCTTTAGGACTTTCGAGCAGTAATAAACTCAAACATTGTGTCTTATTAAGTGATATATAACAGATGAAATCTATCGTGTTACTTTTTCTATATCCAAAAAACCCCTAAAATGTCTTTCTAAACGATACGGTTTTAAGGATTAAGAGAAAATCGCTACATGCGGCATCAAATATAGTCAAAGGAAAATGTGAAAAATTTGAAACATCACAGTATAAATGGAAGGGATCCTTGTGATGTTGCATTGAGTTTTAAGACGGAAATAACTGCATTCCTCAGGCTATTAAGGGACTTCTCATTCTGACATATATTGAAAAATCCACAGCAAACATGCAACTATTATTTGTCTTGCACATCAAGCCATAAAAAAGATTCCAGGTTTATAAGCCGCAAATCCTTCTTACTGAAGGATTTCCTGCTCAAAATGTTTATTCGCTGTGATACCCAGTGTTACAAAATAAGTATTCTAGTTTTTATGGGAAATTGTAATCGAGAGTGATGGGATATGACATCTTTGTTACACCAATGTAGGCAAAGTTTGATCGACCAAATAAAGATTATAAATATATGGTAAGATGCGGCTGGATGCAAATTTTGCAAGATGCCAAAGCATGTTTTCTTTTCTATATTTTCCTAGAGATCATTTCGCTATCATACTAATTATTCGCGCCAATTCAGCTTTCAAAGGAACAGCTGCTCAGCAGTGAAATTTCCATTCTTATATGTAATCTTAAGAATCCTAAGTCTTAAGAATACTTTCTTCTAAAAAACTTTAAACAACGGATGCAGATTTTCGTCCCAGGTTTTCTCCTGTCACCGTCCCATCCTTCTGGCATATTCTTAAGACATTTGGGCTATAGGATATCTTGTACAAATGTACTTAATTCCTTGCACATGGTTTCAAAGACTTTCCGCAGAAATACAACGGCAAATTTGCAAGCTTTCACACCAGGAAAAAAGTCAGCACGTTGAAAAATAAGAAAATCAATATAAAGCAATTTTAAAGCAATACCACCCATTGATTTAATCTTATATCTAAATCATCCTCTAAATTCCCTTAAGGATTCCCAGCTCGCTTTCCATTACATATAATCGTTCTCTCTTTTCATCTTAATGTTTGCTAATTTATTCAAATGAAACGCACATCAATGTCACGGCACGCATATACAGTACAACCTCTTTTCCATGAACAGTTTTACTGATACAGAAAATGATATAGGTAGGAGGGTAACTTTTGTCGGTTCCTTTCTTTTATGAGGCCTGAATCACGTATAGAAGTCCTTAATTCCCATTTAACCTCGTCTTTATTAGACGAATTTCTCCATGACAAATTATTATTCATTTTACAGACAGTAAACTGTTTACAATTCATAACTGGATTTGTTTACCTTCATAATGCTTTTCATCGAAGACGTGTTGTCCTCGATCTTCTTTAATAAATGTTCTGCAACAAATGCATACTTAGTCTCGTGTTGTGATAACGCATGCGTTGAAAGGCTTGGAGGCTTTACCGAATTTACAGGAGTTCCCCTTCTGCATAATTCCTATTCTGTCTCTGGTCCAACTGTTGTATGTTTATATAAGTTCCACAATACCTTTACGACCAGGGCATCAATAACTTATTTTATTATTTGGTAAACGACTTTGGTTTTAACACATATGTTGTTTGATTACCAAGAATCGAGAAAATGATTTTAACATTTGCAAAATAAATGTAAAGTTTATTGAAGGATAAGAAATATAGAGCGAAAAATAAAAAAGGACATCAATTTGTATTTATGGATTATGTGAGAGATGGTTGAGTGTAGAATTAGAATAAAGTTATAAATCCATTAAAAACGAAGGGTAAGTATTTCATGTTGCTGCTAATTGGAAAAAAGCTACCATTCTGTCCTTTCAGGAAACATCCTGTCGAATCTAGTCACATCGTTCAACTTTACTATAAAGAGAAAAGGACCAAGAATAGAGCCCTGCTGAATTTACACAAAAATAATAGAATGTTGCTATGCCCTTTTTTATGTATGGACTAGACTGCTTATCCATTAATGCCAAAACAAACTGCAGCAAAGAAACTTATATAGGGAACTGTAGGTCTATGGTATCTGTTCTTGTCCCTTTCGACAAAATTTTACAGCAATATTTGATACTATTGAAGAAGGTTATTGTCCCTTACTATTGGTGATATATTCAGTGTATCTTGTTCAAATCAGAAATGAGCGATTTTTTGATCGAGGCACACGCAGATTCCTCCTACTAACGCTGGACAAGAAATGTAATTCTTGACGTGCACATCCTTTGACGAACCTCATACCGATCAACAGTCGACAGATCGACAATTTTATTCAAAAATATAATTATAACCCTGATGCATAATACATAAAAGTCTATAGCATAGGCTACTTCTCGGGAAGAATCTAAAGAACAAATGCATTTGAATTCACTGATATCTTCAACTATATTACCAAAAGTAAATTAATATATTATTAAATTGCTAGTTATAATTAACACTGGCTTTCCTATCTAGATTTTATGCACTTTCCAGTAAACAGTTTTTCGGTACTTTAAACTGAAACTCAAAGTCATCCTTGTAGTAAATGTATTAGAATTTCTTGCGCTGCTGAAGTTTCTAATTTCCAAAATATGTATGTAATTACTGCCATAAGGAATGAAGTAATTAAAAATCGACCCTTTTTGTTTATTTTTAATGGTCGCTTGTTTTTTCGTTTATGTGCCCATCCTTAAACATGGTTGCCTTGCCGTAGTCAATGATAAATGCACTCATTTGTGATACAAGAACGTCCATTGATAAGGATCAGTAAAAGCAATAATCGAGTCGAAGTTATTGATGATATGAATCCTTATTAATTGAAACACAAAAATTAATTAAAATGATACACTTGAAAACAACGGAAACTACTTTGAAAAATATATTCAATTTCTAAAGAAGGATGCCTGCATTTGAAAAGGAGGCAATCCTATTATGGTCCCAAATAGATAAAAGATACTTCTAAATCGGAACCTCCTACTTAAATGTTATGATGTTAATATGAATGATACTTGTGAGCAATTTGCTAATTATATCTAGTGTTAAGAAGAATACCAAAACTTTAAATATAATATTCAGCTAAGCTGGATTATACTGTATTAGAGCTTCGCCCTTCTTTTGATCATGACTTTGAGTAACAATCATCTGCTTTTGATAAGATTTATAGGTGAATCACGAGCCAAAGACTTCGTGTACACGAATCAAAAGATTGACTAGAGATGTAATTTAGATTAATAAGATAAATTCTTCACTGGAGATTTCTCAGCTTTTGTTGAGTTGCTCTGTCTGAGTCAGATCTACAGTACTTCATTGTAGCATTTCTATATCATTTCTATGGTCTTTAGTAGGGCTGTGTATTTTGATATTTCGCGCTGGGGATTTTAATGTTAACGACATTTTTAAACGATACATCTTTACAAGTACAACCTCTAAAGCTGAAGGGCACGATAAGATCCCAGGAAAACTAGTGAAAGACGCTGCTGATATTTTATATAAGCCATTTGCAATTCCTCTCTTGAAAGCGGTGTTTTTCCGAACATATGGAAAGTAGTCAGGGTAGCATCGGTCTTTAAGACTGGATCGAATACTGTTTTGAACAGCTACCGGCCAATATCCATACTCTCGGTATTCTCCAAGCTAATCGAGAAAATCGCACATGATCAAGTCTCCACCCTTTTGAAGGAAAAAAGCATGCTCTCAAAATGTTAGCATGCATTTCGAAAGCTGCACAACACGTTGACCTCACTACTCAATGTCACTGACTCAT